TTCTTATTTAGCCGTTGCGTTTATTAGCTGCGACATATGAATCAAGATGCTCTGACCGAAAAAATTTGATTGACAGATGACCGTTGATCTATGATTGGCCGAATTGAGGTGTTTAGGCTGACGTATAACTAACTGGCCTGCATAAGATAAAGGGGAAAAAAACACACAGATTTTAAGACAGGATTTTTTTTAAATAGAAATTTTCTAAAAATCGTCTAATAAAGATTACATTTATAAATGTTTAAGCCAGAATGATTAGACATTTAAATATGACTTCCCGAAGACTTTAAAAATAAAACATTCTACTCAATTTAGAACTTTCTGTAACGCTTTATTTTACAGTACATCAATAACCATATAATAGCATTGTAATAACATAGCAAGTTACACTATATCACTAAAAGAAAACCTTATGGAGAATTTTTTTAGTTGTTTTGTTTCAATTTTTTGGCAGACAATGTAAAGTCAGACTTCTTAGATTTCAAACTGTTATCAGCAGGTAACTCATTAATTTCACCGTCAGCAATTAATTAGTGTTATTATCTAGTAAAATGCAGTTTTCTGTTGGCATATAACAGAAACCAAACCTAGAAGACAGCAAGCCAGTCTTTTTAACCCATGTTTATATGTTACCTGAGTTCAGTTTTATAATGCTTTAGTTACTTGATCATAAGTTACAATTTACTTTATAAGCCGTTGGTAGGAGGTGGCCAATAGTAGAAACGTTTATATGGTAACCTAATGGTAACTAACCACCCAATAGTTAGATGCCAACATATCATTCTTATAATTACATGTGGGTAATTACTTTAAAATTACATACCTTAATTTTGAGGTAATTACCAAATAAAGTATTTCTTGTTATTAGTTGTTAGTAATATTGTGTGACTTGCTATGTTATTACCGTGTTATTACTTGGTTGTTGACGTACTGTGAAAGAAAGCTTTAGTGAACTTTCCTGCTAAGAAACCAAAATCCTGTTATTTTCATACAATATAGAATAAAAACAGGTAATGAGGCTCTATTTTTTTTTTTCTTTCATTCCTAATAAGCAGAAACACGTCGGCACAGACCTGTCCTCGTAGGTTCTCATCTCTTTGGGCAACATCTGACAGCAGCGTTACAAGACAAAAGCTGAAGTTTTCAGCGACTGGAAGAGCATCTGTGTGAGAAAACGACAATAAAGATCAACCAGAGTTTGAAACCCTCAAAACACAGCGTGGATTTCACTGCACTGATACAGACCCGGTCCTTTGCGTTCTGAGCTCTCCTCTATCCACTGGACTTTAGGAAGCCCTTTAAGCAGCCCAAGAAGGTAGGGAACGATAACATCTTTGTGCTGCAAGACAAGATCACACAGAACATCAGTTTCAGCAGGTCACTGTGTAGTTGGGAAAAAAAGTATTCAACTATTCACCCTAGTTAAAGAAACGGAGATCTATGGATTTCACTCAGTCGTCACATTTATTCAAAAAGAGAACAGTTCATCATACAGCCATTATGGCACAGCATTCTGCCCTGTTCTGCCTGAGCAGCGTTCGTTCCCCCTCACATACAACAACTGAATGTAGTCAGAGTCAAAACAAATTACAGACACTTTGTTTAAACAGTAACATGTTATGAATAAACCATGAGAAAGAATCTGGTTTGTTGTGGGAAGAAGCTATGTCTGGTCTACAAACACTATCCTGCAGAGAATGGTGTGGCCTTGAAAGTGAAACAGACTGAGTGAAAACTTTTATAGTGAGTAAATAGGATGAATTAATATATAACAGAAGAGAAATCAACATTTTCCGACAACACACTGTTGGCGCGAAAGCATAAAAAGTGACAAACAGGGTTTACCTGGAGGTGTGACTCTACCAGAAAAATACCGAGAGCGATGACGGCATCCCTCCTCCTCTCATCAAGCTGGAAGACCCCTCTGAAGTCCACAGGGCACATACATTGCAGCTTCTGCACCTGCAACACAAAAACACAGGAAAATTAAGAAAGGCAACAATTATTTTTTAACAAACTTTATGAATTACTCAAATCCAGGTTTTTCTGCAAACTTTCAGCATCTGTGTAAAGGAAAAAATACAGTGTTTCAGCAATATGATGGATGATATTATGTTTCATTTATTTTTGATAAAACAAAATATTTTACAGCAGAATTTCCAACCCCCCTGCAGTTTTACTGCAGTCCACTAGGGGGAGTGACCTCTGTGTTGAGAAGCTATGCTTTGCTGAGGAGGAGAGAGTTGATTGGATCAGCAAATACATCTGAGAGTACTAGAAAAATTATAATCCTAT